AGCCGAGCCTTTTTCGTCATGTTTTTAGAAAGGCAAGATACCAGTGAATAGTACCAAGTGCCCCATGGTGGAGCGGAAATAAATGCGCGTTGGACGAACGAGTGTTTTAGCGACGTAGGTTGAAGCAGTTGTTGCCCTCGTGAAATTGCTCCTCGAGAAAAAAAAGGGGCATCGAGAATCGAAGCTACAAGCAAGCGCTGCGCAACGCTTCACTTGGCCTTCAAAAACAAACTCAGAAAATTACTTGCCCTTCACGAACGAACTCGAAATTACGTCCCCAAACCAAACCGAAGAAACACCCAAATTGAGAACATACATGTACTCTACTCTCTACCGAGAGTCAGAGTCCTTCAAGTGGTGATCAACCGCTCGTTCACTAGCGGCGGTATTTTTCCCTCTTTGATATATGTGGCGAGGAAGTGCCAAGCGGGCCGAGGGTGTCTCGGCCATGTGCGAGAATAGTGGAAGTGAGCGAGATAGGGCCCTCCTCGTGGTGGGCATCTCCGCATCTCCGAGATTACCCCGAATAGCCACTGTTTTCGGGGAATTCTTCATGGTAGTCTCGGAAGCGGCAGAACATTGTTCGTAGTCCCCGGGCGTGTGTAGGCAGGTTGTCGAACGCGATATTTCCCCTCACACACACAAGCTCGCCCACATACACACCATCATCACCACACCATCAGCCATCAACTCTGACTCGGCGGCAACCGCGGCAACAAACAACAGCTCAGATCCCGAAGCACGACTTTGCAGGTATGGTTTCAACATGCTGATAGCAGAGGGCAGTTCTTTCGGTTCGGGCAGCACTTACTTCCTCTGTTCGGGCGCGGTCGGCCTACTTTTTTTCTGTTCAGGCACATAGATGGTGAGCGCCAAGCCTGAGTGTAAGGTGGAGTATATTCGCGTTGCGTCGGAACCAGGGCGAGTGATTATTATCATGCCGGAAGCCTACAAAAATGTGACGATCCGACTGCTTGGTGAAAAATGTGCCGATGACCACACAAACAACTGGAAGTTGTTTCGAATAACGTTTTTGCCGGTGCATTTCCGATTTTGAAGAAACTCGTCTTCACACGTGCCCGGAACTAACCGTTCGAGTAACTGCGCGTAGTTTCGCGCCCATTGTGGGAGTGACTGGTGGTTCGATTAGGTAACATCGCCTTCCAGCATTTGGACGTGGGTTCGAATCTCAATGCAGCCACGCGAGCGACTGATCGATTGTTTCTCATCATCACTCTATGCCTATCAGACAGAAGTCAGGGTGCAACGGGATAATAATTTCCGATCGCTGGTGTATACGAAACAACTTCGACTTCACGGTCGACGAGGGGAAGAATCTGCTGAATCTTTCTCGAAATAAAATTCAACCACCGCGGGAACGCGGAGCCTTCAACTCTCCCCTTGCTCCTCTTCCGTGACCCCGGCTGGTACGTCCTGAGTTATTTTAGCAACATAGTACCTACGTAGATATCGAGACTTGAGCCAAAAAATCCCAAATCTAAGAGCTCGGCGACATGAAGAGGTGCTGAGTTCCGACGTGCGTGGCATCAAGAACAAGAACCCGCCCTTATGGTGTACCAAAGCGCATACAGATGAGAACGGATGACGGAGCGCGACGGCTGCAAGAATGAACTCAGGCGTGGGGGTTGACCCAAACAGCTGTTAGTTTCAGATTCGTGGCGGGGGCGAGGACGTCATGATAGAATACTTGTACGTCTGGAGGGGGGGGGACATACTCTCTCTCATGTTTCGCATGGCATACATAGCGGTCAGACCATTGACCGCACGTCCTCGAGAGGACGCATAATTGTTCCAACAGGAACGATCTCCGATGGCCGGTCGTTCCTTCGTACTTCGAAGTTCTTCGCAAGCGTGTCTCAAAAATGTTTCCGCTACCCAATATATCATACCAATATCACTTCCCGCCTTTTCAACCCATTTCTTTTGCCCCACTACAGCTACCGTCTTCTCCTGGCTTCCCCAAGCCTCAAACATCTCCCTGTGCCTTCTTCTACTTTGTTGAGCTGAGTCATGTACATATCTCTGTCGTTACCCAACCGACATTCCGAAAAACTACATGAACCCGGCGGTCGCATTCGGAGCCACATTCACGTTTATCTTGTCTTCGTCATCGTCTTCCTTACTTGAATCTTCGTCAACGTTCTCATAGGCCAACGCCCCCAGCCCTAAATTTGAGCTTCTGCTTTGTACCTCGTCCTTCGTTCAACATTCTGTACACATCTAGACCCTCCTTATCCTTGGACCCTTTTGGTAGATTGCAGATTGTGTTCTCTCTAGGCAATAATTGCGGATTTCTTGTTCTTAAACCCCTGTAGACCTACAGTTCGTTTCCAGCAGATGAACACTAGACCTACCATTCGTTTCCCAAAGATCAACTTCATCGATTTCGAACTTTTCCATACGTTGCCTACAACGAACCTTAAATCCACTCCCTGGGTTGCTACCCCTCTTCTCCTTGCTTGTCCACTTCGCCTCCCAAGCTACATAAGGTAACCTCTCCTCTCGCACGTCGTACATACATGCGGCACCATACTACCATTGTTGCGTTTCCTTACGCCTCTTCCCCGATCGTAAGGGTTGGATCCGAAAGGGGGGCGTTTCTCTCTCTCATGTTGCGCATGCCTTCGCGGTTAGACCATTGACCACGCGTTGTCGACAGGACGGACCACTGTTCTCAGGACCGATCACCGATGGCCAATCGTTCCTTCCTACTTCGAAGTACTTTGCCAAAGGTTCAGAAATGGTTCCCTAGCCTACCAATCCTATCGTGCTTGATTGGGTAGGTGCTAGGTTGACCTGACGTGGGTAGGTAGTAGGGTGGTGGGCCATGGAGGCCTAGGTCGCTCTTGGTGCTCGTCGTGCAGGTCGGCACAGATAGGCGGGACTGTTAAGTATACGGCATGGGTCCGTGATTATCATTATTATATGGTGTATCGACATATTTCTTGAGGTTGAAGTTATTCTTGAGGTTGAAGTTATTCGACGAAACTCCACGACTCGAATATTTTCCACGGAAACCATGGAAATTGAAAAATCTCCATTCTGCCAATCTGTGGAAATTTTCATGGAATATCCCATATAGAACTTTCCATAGATTCCATGGAGTCCATGGCATCTATGGACCTCCGCGGAATATTCCACGGTAGACCATGGAGTTCCATCGAGCTCCATGGCACGTTCCATGGCACTCCGTGGGGTTCTATGGAACTCCATGGGGTTCCATGGCACTACATAGAATATTCTATGGAGTTCCAAGAATCATGTTATCGATTTCCAGTTGTAGTGTTTCGGGCTGTTGGTGACTCTCTCCGTTCCGCATGCCGAGAACGCTGCATTCTCGTTCAGTTCTCGGCCGCCAGCCCGTGGGTTGTCCGTGGTAGACTGCGATGGGGATAGGGTTGGGTTGGGTTAGGTCGGACACGGTGTGGGACACATCCCGTGGGCGGAGCTACGGTTCAACATCTGGTCAGACCTGAAGTGCAAAGCCGGTCGCCCCCCTCATTCGTTCCGAAAACTCGATAAATATTTTGGTAGTTTGCTTGCGTTGGCGGGCAGAGTGATGCCGACGCTACATGTAGTGATCTGTCCTTGCCCCCCGTGGGCATACAATGGAAAAAATACTTTTAAGCTCGGAGGGTGGGGGGGGGGGGCTCGATATTACTGAAATAGGGTTAGGGTTTGGGATAGGGTCAATTGGGAGTGCCTGCTTTCCCAACTGGTTGGGGTTGGAAGTTCACACTTTACTTATTCCGCTGGTGCTCTGTTCATGAGGATGGGAGTAGGTGTCCTGGGGTTATCGGGTGTCTCCCGCCAGAGTGAAAGGGCAGTTGTCAAGATACAAGATACCTGACCGGGTCAATCCGATGGTGCTGATTCCATTTCCCTAAACGTTTCTTGAACCGCTGGCGTAGTTCGCGAGATGCAGGACTTCAAAGTAATTCTTATCTACAATGGGCCCGTTTCCTCATCACATCCGATGGGCATCCTGACGTCTATGGTTCATGTTTTTTCGGTCTTTGTCGGAGTTTGGGTTGGCGTTTGGGTGCACGGTGCAGTTCGTGGTTGGACTCACGGTTGAAACCGCCAGGGGTGCAGGGTTGTAACGCGGACTTTTCTGCAGTACGAAGAATCTCGCTAGAGCACGACAAAAAAAAACGAATTACTTTTCATGCCGGGGATCAAGAGAAACAAGCGGTGGGGGAGCCGGCCGCTGCCTTCTCCCACGCCAACACTTCAAACCGAGGATGATATAATGTAAGTATCGGATCGGAAGAGGCCTCCTGCGCCGAACTGAGTTCGCGCCCATCCTTCGGTGCATCCGTTGACTTCTCTCTCACTTGATCTAGGCGGCGGGACGTGAACCCATCCGAACCCCCCTAGTGCGTACGGTGCCGACCAGTCCCGTGGAAGTCATGATCACGTCGTCCCCCCAGGGTTGCCATCTCTGTACTCAGCGCTGTGCTTGCCAGATTGACACAATCAGGTCATCGGCGTATTTCGCGACGCCTAGACAATATCTTCAGGCAATCTCTTTCTCACACTTCGAGTGCCAACAAAATCCTCAAAGGATAAAGTGCTCAAGGGGAGATCGAACCCCGGCCATTGGGTTTGGGTGAGAAGCACGATGACATTGCTCAAGTGGAGATTCGAACCGCGGACATCAGCTTTTGTTGAGAACAGCGATGACCACTACAAGACCACTAGTCTAGTCAGCGGTGACAACTAGGCTGTCTCCGGGGTTCAAATCTCCCCTTGAGAATGTTTTCTTTAAGGATTATGCTTGCACCCACAGTAAGAGGAAGAGAAATCTCTGTGATGAGCGCTGTGCTTGCGGGCCATAATGTGTTATCCCTACTGTTGCATGACTCGGCAGATCGCCAAAGAGGATTGGCCTTGATCGCTGCTTGACGCGTGCGTGGCACGTTGCTCAACATTGCTTCTCGCCCCACTTTCGTCGCCAAAACAGGAAATCACCAACCATGTGGCGTCCGCTCAAGATGGTCACCGTCGCGCTCTGCGCTCAGGTCTCCGCCAGCCAGGTAATTTGAGGTTGTGTGTAAGACAGGGCTTCCATTTGAGGAACGATAGCTACTGTATGTTCAACATGAGCAACATCCCCTGGCGGTCGTTGACAGGACCCTCACGTCAGTGCCGTCAGTCAGCAATATTGTGGAAGCACACCCTTGAATCCTCATCTATTGGAGGAGTGAAACTCGGGAGCCAAATGTACCGCCAAGAGGCAAAGACAATCTTTGGACCACGCGCTCTCGGACCCCTGGCGCGTAATTCCGCGTTTAGTTGCTCTTTTGTGGAGCGCCGCCGAACCTGCGACGAAACTTTTACGAGTTGAATAGCGACTGAGGTCAATCGGGGACAACATTGGGTAGTGCGAGCTAATGCGTACGGGTTGGTTTCAACCTTGAAGTCGCTTCCGGTACTGGCAAACAAAAGAGGTTACGCAACCGCTCGACAAATGCAATGCGAACCATCACCCTTTGGGTCAGACGGATCCAAAATAAAAGCGCGGCGTGACTTCCCCTTTTGGTGTTCCATCCGTCCTACCACTCAAACCGACAGGTTAGGGTCGGTCCCCCTGTCAGGGCCTATTGTCCTACTCTCGATCAGTCAGCCAAATGAAGTTGGGTTGGCAGCAGATCTGCACGAGACAGATCGTGGATGCTACACAGAAAAGCACCTACCCTGTAGGTCTCATGAAATCTTCTTCGGTACCACCACCACTACTTAACCTCAGACCGCGCAATCTTGCAAAGCACAGCACAGCAGCCACACATGAAACTTGAAACATTCGATGCTTGCCTTCGTGCTTGGTCTGTAGGGAGCGCATTGCCAGAAGAACGTGAAATATTACCTCAAACGGCTTTCGGGCGCCAACCGCAAGATGCTTGGACGTCATATAAATGAAACAGCTCTGTTGTCCCAAGTCCAATCGACCAAATCGAGATCGTCCTTGGCCCATGAAAGGGTGAACAGTACGACATTTGATACCAAGTTGCAGAAGTAGCTTATCGCACTTCGCCGTACTTGGATGTTTGACACATACATGTATCCTGCGGCGCTGAAATTTCAGGTCCTGATCCAGGTAAAGAAGGGGACCATTCCAAGCCATAACTTCAAACCAGGAGGGTTCGACTCCACACTACAGGAAAACACGAAGGCCGACGGTTCCACAGAACCTGAGCACGCTATCTCCCTCGTCGAGAACGGGCAGCATTCCACGGTTGCTACCGATCGAGGCGGTCTTCAAACCCATCGGCAGCTAGACTTGGTGTTTTGCATCCTAGTCGTAGTTATTTTCGTCGCCACTGCCCCGCGCGCGTATAGGAGGGTCTTGCAGGATGGCACCGAGGAAATGGTGATCGCCGTTGACATGACCATCACCGACCCCGTCAACGGAGCGATCACATACCCAGTAGAGTTCAGTGTTGCTGGTGACGGTCTGGGCACGGCGGAAATCCCTCTCACGCTCAGCTCTCAGATCAACGACGATGACACCGGTCTTTGCGACGAGTGCACACTGAGCTTCGTCGCCGGCGATTGTCTGTCCGGTCCATGCGATACCTACGACAAGGATACCACGAACGACAACATGGAGATCGTTTCCTCGGTGAGTGTTTCCTGTACGTTTTAGCGCCGTGACCACCGGGTTTTGTGGTGTACATCAATCTGAAAGGAAGGGAGGTCGGATCCTTTCGTATCAAAGAAGTACAGCATTATTGCACACCCTTGTTTTTTGTGCTCTATAAAAACACAAGCACAAGTTTGCTTGGCCAGTTGTGCCGTTTGCTCGTTTTTAGTTTTGAGGCCAACTCGTTTCTTGTCCAAACATAGCCCAAAAACAAATAGAGTCTAGATTACCCAGGTTACAAATGATGCTTCTATTATCGTTCACATCACCTATTCCATGGAGTATTCCATGGAGTACCATCATACTCCATCTCATGCTGCGCCATCATGCACCGTGGGTCCTCATTCAGCGGTTTGGAAATCAAAAGATGGGCATTCATGATGCCCCGTGACTATTTCAATTTTTTTCCGTACCGAACCCTTAGAGTTCGGCGATTGAGACGGAACTCCGGGGGTCATGCGGAAATATTTTTGTTGTTGTCTTTGTTTGAGCTGAGAGCAAGCGCGCACCTGCCCCTTGTGGTACACCTCCTCATCGCCATCTACGCAAACCTTGCCCCGGCGTCAGCCATGAACAACTACAGTATATTTTCTCTCCGTTCCGAGACGCACCAAGCTGCAACGGTATTCTACTGTAACCTCTATGCTACTCTCCGGATCAAAGACAGATACCGCAGCAATAACCGAAGAAACCTGCACGTGTTTATCATGGCTACTACTTTGAGCGCGCGTTCGTTTGGGAGTGCTTTCAACGTCCTCCGTGCATTTACCACCGTCACTCTCGTCGCCGATACTCCCACCACGATTTGGTGGGTCCTCTCTAGCCCTGCCGTGTTTGTTGTGAAGAAGGTCATCTGGCTCGAAACTCTTGCTCTCTTCCACGCCGCGTTTTCCTCTTCCGCCGGCGCCTTGATCCTTCTCTTCTCTTGCATTTATTTCCCTTTCTTTCTCCTTCCTGACTCCCAGAAGGATTACCCTCAATACCATCGCCATCGCCTTTACCCGCACTACTGGAAAGTGACAATTGTGTGTGTGAATGTCATCTGGGCTTGGAGGCTCCCGAGAGTTGGCGGACATCTCCCCGCGACCCCCAGGCTTGTCTTCGGAAGATTTTCACACTATTGCATGCACCCGAACATCCTTCTGGAGAAGCCTCTAGTACTTTACGGTATACTCCATCGTGAAGTGGTTCATGTAATTTCTAATGATCGCGCCTACTGTGACTACATTCAGTATCTTTGTCGCGGGCACAGTAGTAGTTGAAGCAACAGAACGCGAAAGTCTGAAGGTCGCGAACCGCTCAAACATTGTCGGTGATTCACGGAAACGTTTCGAAGTTCCTCCCAGGGGGGAGGGGACTTACGTACCCGAATTTTTCGTAACCCTAACCCTTTACTAGAGCACCGGATAGTAGACCGTTTCCTCCTTCCCATAAAATTTGCCTTTTCTTGCCGGACACCTCGCACTTTCACCAAACCAAACAGGTCTGTGGAGACCCCCACATGGTAGGCCTTCTGGGGCAGAAAATCAACTGGTACGGCGAAGACAACGAGTGGTACTGCCTGCTTGTTGACCCCGCGTTTCAACTCAACGCACGCGTCACCGCTCCCCTGCCGGAAGAGTTTCCCACCCGGCAGCTGCTGTCTGGCGTTAGTCTCATCACTCCCGATGGCCACTCCCTGGTCATCGAGGTTAAGAACCCCTATTCGATCGCAACGGAGGGTTGCTCTTCGCATTCTTGTCTGGCGGAAGGTTCCCTCCGCATTCTCGTAGACGGCCAAGAATCTGAATCGCTCCAAAAGCCAGGTGAGGATAGTGTTCTACCGGGCGGCGTGGTGGTTTCATCGGCCAACCTCCCGGTGGAGTGCCGGCCGTTCGGGGGGCACCGCATCTGGGCCGCCCAGCTCGCCGCAATGGACGCCGCCATCAATCACAGGTCCTTGCGCGGCCGCACTCCGTTCGTCGACTGGCTGCTGGAGTCGGACACCATCACAGCTCCCGCTTGGTGTGCGGATTTCGTGGGCGGCAAGGGGCCAGCCGGCATGTCCGAGGTGCTGTCCAACCACGCCATTCTTCGCATCGAGACCTCTGCTGTCACGATCAGGGTTAACATTGGCGTCAACTATCAGAACTCCAAAACCGATGCTGCCGGGAGTGTGCTGCTCCCCGAGCTCGAGTTCTGGCAGACTGATCTCGCCTTCGAGGGGCTGCAGATGCATGGCGAGGCCGGAGGGATGCTGGGTGACACGTCCAAATTCGCCTTGGACAACAACGGCGTGCCCATCACCAGTGGCATGGGCGCCCTGCACGGACCGGTGAAGAACTACCGTGTGTCTGGACCCCTCGGGGTCGACTTTGAACAGCTGCGCAAGTAGAGAAGGTACACCACTTCAAGGTCGCGTGCGACTTGAAGTTGATCGATATTCTGTGGCGTAGTAGGATGAACTGATTTGGGCTGCCATCTGCTATCTACAGCACATCGCTCCATACTGTCAAAGACACAGTAGCGGTGTTTGTCTGAGAGGATACTAGGATTCGATGATATATATTTCGACTCTAGAAGAATCTAGCGTAGAACAGTTGAGCAGCACACTTTGTTGCCTCTGTTGCCACCCACTTTGGGATGCTGGGCATGGGACGAACACCACCGTTCATTGCTACAACGCATGTTTCTCTTCCTTACGCTCTCTGGCCGTACACAGAGCAACGTGATAGTCTCGCTGATTAGCCCTGCTCCTCCTGCACAGCTCTTCGCATGTGTCTTGGTTGCTCGGGGTCAGATCACGGGGAGCAGGGTGTTCGTGAGTTTATGGAGAAGGTTGCGGTCAGTGCTAAATTTTCCTTGAGGTTTGTTTACGTATTGGGGTGTAATCTGGAAAAGAGAAAATACAACTGTTTGTGATGTCTATTCGCGTTTTACCTTAGCGGATTGACAAAACATGTCTCGGAGAATGGGTGGAGTTTAGCGAGGTTTTTGCATTTCTCAGAGTGGGCGAGAATGTTGTGGCAGGGGGGCGGCTACCAGGAAATATTTTTCAACTACGTAGGATTCGAATGTGCAAGGTTTGTCCGACATTGGTTTTCCCTTTGTTGTTGCGACGTCTCTGCGATAGCTGCCGTTGTTGGCGTACGCGAGGGTGACGTATGTTTTCCGAGGAGGAAAAACTTTCGATACGTCTTGGATCTTGGAACTTGGGAAATCAGAACGGGAGGGAGTTCGTATGTGGATTTCTGAAGAGTCTTGTTTCGCGAGGTGGTGGAATTTTCGAAAGGTATTCCGTGTTTCGGCGACTCGAAAAACTGTCGTGAAGAAACACGGTGTGTACGTTTTACTCGTGGGAGAGATGGCTAATACTGGCTGGCATCTTGGGGGTTTAGACGAGGATTTGTTTCAACATATTGATATTCAGGGTGGGCAGGAAGAAGCCTTGAACTGTTGTTGGCATGCTATCCGAAAGGTTGGAAATTAATGTCGTTTTCACCTCGTAAGCTGTGAAGGGTTTGGCACATCGTAAGTCGCAGCGAGTAGGGGGGCGGCTAGGTGTAGTAGGAGGTGATGGCGATCAACGGGTCTCTTGGAATGTGGTAAGAAGATTGCGCGATATGTCCGACACCCTCGTGGTTCTGCATGGCGTTCGCACTGTCTCTATCTTCTCCAGGTGTGGATACTATTCACAGGGTTTGAGTCAATGCATATATGTTCTCTTGGACCGGTGTCCCTGTGAACAACCGTGTCAACACGACAAGCTGGGCAGTGAAACAGTCTGTACGCAGGAAGTTGGTGAAAGGTTTTTCGCGGTCGGTCAGGCCGTTGAAAAATACTTCGTAGTATGAGGTAGGATGAAATCCCAGCCGAGCAGAAAACGCAGGTGGTTCATCGTTCGCCGTGCCGTAACGGCATTTCTGTGAGTGCTTCAACCTTACCGGCGATTGGGCTACCCGCGCAGGGGAGATGGTGTGACCAAAATATTTAGCGACCGTTTAGCCCCGACACGAGACTTGAAAAACGAAACTCTTGGTGATAAGCTTGCAGCGGTAGCGCGTCGGGCTAAACCGCTTTGGACAGCTTATTGCAGGTGCTCGCTGAGAACCAAGACCACCTGCTAAAAGCACGAGGTAGAACACCTGGTGTGTGCTGTGAAGCAACTCGGTGACCCTTCGAACGACGAAAACATGAAATGCCTTTGATGCCATTTTTACCGGATGACCGCAAGGCCACGTTTTGGTGGCAGAAGACAAGTGTGTAAGAGAATGGCGCGTTGGCCAGCTCGCGATCACTTCAAAAAATAAAATGCATACAGTTGCAGACCCGGAATAGTCAACCGCCTACATATCTTGGGGCTCCCCAGAACTATTCTGACTGACGATACGTCGACAGTCCCGTGCGGGAACATCACACAGTAAAATAATGTCGAAATCATGGAACCGCGAAGGGGTTCTGCAGATGAGAACAGACTAACTGCAGAGAAGCTTGGAGAGAGCACCCACTCGTGACAAGCCTTCCCAACCCTAACGAGGAAGTACGGTAGGAAGAACAGCATACTACCATACAGCTGACCGAAGCTCAGCTGGCCGCGGCCACGGCCGTGGACTCAGGGAAGGTGGTGAAAGAGTTCGTTTGCTACGACAGTAGCGCCACACTCGGCTCGTGGGACATCCCAGTGGACCGCAGCTCGGATGACAGCGGCTCTGCAGTGTCATATGCGGGACGGCCGGTTGAACGACCACCACGGCTTGTTTGTATACTATGCACTCCTTTAGGGTAGGAGGAGCCGTCAGCCAGTCCCTCGCGGGGACGGCCGTAGAAGTCCTTATGGAGATAGTGGGGTGGAAAACGAGAAGGGTAGCCCAGCGATACGTAGGCTCCATGATACATGGGGGGGGCTCACCCGCTAAGCGTCCGCGATATCCGGATCGGCGGGAGCAGGAGCAGCGGTATATCCAAGCAATGGATTTGCCACTGCAAGAAGGCTTCGCGGAGACATTTGCGTTCGGGATATAGGCTAATGGCTGACACTCGGTTACTAGTTTCCTATAATATCAGATATCAGGCACCGACACAGCATGAATAGCTGAAAGGCAAAGTATGGGTGGATCCCGTGCCGTAGCCGGAGGCCTCATTTCATCCCAAACTCTACATCGTTGACAACTATCCCGCAGTAAAATAATGTCGAAATCATGGAACCGCGAAGGGGTTCTGCAGATGAGAACAGACTGACTGCAGATAAGCTTGGACAGAGCACCCACTCTTGACAAGCCTTCCCAACCCTAACGGAGGGAGAGTACGGTAGGAAGAACAGCCGTCCCCGCCCACCCAACTGTGCTAGATATTTGATTTGACTGGGGGTAGTATTCTGAGCGACTGCCGCGTTGAGGACACGGAGGGCGTCAACGCGGGGGTAGTAACCCTGGGTGGAGTCTCCGGGCTTTCGTAGCCGGAGGCCTCATTTCATCCCAAACTCTACATCGTTGACAACTATCCCGCAGTATGTGCACACGTGGTCTCTGCACGTTTCTACTGCTGTCCATTCTACAGCATGCAGACCTACGTTATCACTCAATCTTACTGTAGAACACGTATTGTTGTCTATGTTGCCAACAGCGAACACAGAAGGGGACGAACTTGGCTACTGTCGACATGGACACGCCAATATACCAGATACGACTTGATGACGTGCTTTCCGCGTGCTCGTTGCTGGCTTGCCCTGCCGAGCCCACCGTCGCTCGGACGGCGCGCGCGCGTTGGTTGAAAAAAACGCCACACGGATAGCCTTGAACACCTGATGATGATGATCTCGCCCTTTTTTGGCGTTGCAAACACTTCAATAAACGCCTACAAAGAGGATCGATAGACTTTGCCTTGCTGCTTCAGGAGCGCCGTATTATCTTACAGTGGTTCAAGAAACGAATCCTAGTCGATCGACCGATACTTGGTGCGACGAGACCTTTTTATGTAGAGAAATATGTATTCATACCGACAATGACCCGCCAACAAGTAATTTCCACTTTGCTCTCTAACAATTTTCTTCATTTTGACATGTGGAGTCATAAGATGTTTGACAGCAAGGCTTCACTACTCCTTTGATGATTACTCGACAGATGAAAGCGCTCTTGCTTCTCTACGACGGTGGTCAATCCTTCTTCACAACAACTTACGTGCTTGACGTTTACCATGATGCGTTCTCGGGAATTGAATATGACGTCCGAACAGCAGCGAAATGACGCCTACTTGACCTTACCTACTCACGTGACACGTTAAGATAATGAAACAAAATCGAAAAGCCTCCAAAGCCTCTCGCCCGCTCTTTCCTATGATTATCCGTGTCGTTCGGCGGGCGATCTTGCCCTGTAAATGTTTTTTGAGACCCCAGATTAGACGCTGTCCGAGGCCCGGTGATCCTCCGACATGTCCACGAACATTACCAGCAGCAATGCGAAGCAATATGTTGGTTTGCGGTCCAAGCTCGGAGTATCGATTCCCCAATGGTTGATTCCGGCTTCCTGACGAAGCAACCAGGGTATTCACGGCGTCCAAGCGACAGCGCTATTGACGTTCTAAAAAATGCACTCCCGGCAACCTTCAGCGAATACTGATCATGTAGATAGATGAGGTCGAATCTCGAAGATGATACCCCGACGATCGATTCCGGAAGCGACCCGAAGTTCCGGCGACGGCAGCGATAACGGAGTTAGAATTGGTCCGCCGGGGCTGAGAAGTCGGGAAAAAAACGTGACCGGACCGGAAACTAATCGAAAAAACTACCGCGTCCTAAAAGAATGGTAAATTGCATGGTGTTTGCAGCACGAGGTGCGCCCACCAGCAAGAGAAACCGAGGGCGAATCACCGTGAAAGCACTAAACACTCGACAGCATCGAACGTCTGGAGGGATTCATAGTACCAAACCCCAAGAACGTGCATTCCCGTCCGTTCGAAATGCAAGCCTGAGAAAATTCTCCCATGGCTTTGAGGGTTCCAACTGCGTTGCTGTGAAAACTCGTTCCAGTAGACGTTGAATCCAGCAAGGAAGGACAACGATATCAAAACTTGGCCGGCCCAGTGTTAATGTTGACTCTCGTCGTAATACATGCGTCGTCAACTGCATCAACACCACCAAGGAGACAAGGACCATGCTCCGCGAACATGGCACCCGACTATCCTTAGCGGACGTAACCGCAAGGACCTCAGCGCTCTGGGAACACTCGCTGGTTTGATGAGGTAGCCTGACGGCGGGGCAGCGGCAGTCGTCGAAATTCGCTTGTGCGTTTCAGGGTTAACCTCAAGGATAGTAAACCGGCTGTGTGTGTCGGCCGGACGAAACATGCGGTTGAAGTATCGAAATCTGCGCGTGTTCATCGAGGAGGTCTCGGACAACGT